AATTGAGCAGGGTTTACGGCATTTTTTTTTGAAAAACAAACGCGGCCGAACTCAAATCTACCCTTCTTCTGTACCCTGAAAATGTTGCCTGGTTTATGCACGTTTTGTACAGCAAAAGGTTTCTAAACATAGAACAAAACCAAAATCAATACATCAATAAAAAGTTCAAACTTTCAAAACAACTGGTAGTACATAACATACTTCATTCTTCCACACTGTCTCCATCATCTCAAAAACTGGTAAGACAACACTTGCATTCCCCCGATCTTGACGAGATGCATTGGATAAAACTCACTGAAAAGCTTAGGGAGCAACTACAAGGTAATAAGTTTTTGATAGTTTTCGATGATATGTCGGCAATAAAGCATGGAGCAGTTTACAACCTGCATTGCCCAAGACTAATGATGAAGGAAGTAGGGTTATCATAACGACACGAAAGAACGATATGGGTGAAGCTTGCTGCAAGCGAATTCCTGCCTACATCTATAAACATAATACTTTTATCACCAAAACAGGCCTTTGACTTGTTTTGCAGAAGACCATTCCCTGACCATACTTGCCCCAAGGAGCTCGTGAACTCATCTAGAAAAATCGTTGAAAAACGTGACGGATTGCCACTAGCCGTTATGCCAATAACCAGTGTTCTTGCTGCCAAGCCAAGGAAGGACGTCCGTGAATGGGAAAATACGCTTAACCACCTCAGTTCGGAGTTGGAAAACAACCCGAACCTGGAGGAAATGAGGAAAATATTCGATTTAAGCTACAATGACTTGCGTTACCCTATCAGGCATTGCTTCTTATATCTGAGTAAATTTCCTGAGGACCATCTCATAGGACACAAACATGTCAAAAGGTTGTGGGTAGCGGAAGGGTTTGTCTTGCCGTGACATGACTGCAGAGGAGGTGGCAGAATCATATTTTGACAAGCTTATTGGTCAGTCCCTGATCCTACCATCTATGTTCAATTCCAGCGGCTCCGTGTGCATGACATTTATTTGGAAGTGATAGTCTCCGAATCGATAGAAGAGAACTTTGTCACACTGGTTCAGCAACAAGACAGATGGACACCAGAAGAAATGGTCCGATACCTATCTGTCCACTCTGGAGATTTTCCAACTAATCTGACAGTATCTTGGCTCCGATCATTGACCATGTTTGGATCAACGCAACCTATTTTTCCTACATATGATTCAACACGGTCTATTTTTCCTATAGCATGGTTTTTACGGGTGTTGGACCTGAAAAATTATGATCCTTTAGAAAATGAGGAGGTTGACGCAATTTCTCAATTTCTTCATTTGGGATACTTGTCTTTGTCTTACAGAAGCTGTTATTCCAGAAGACACAGAATGTTTGGTCTGCGCCTCAGAAAATGTGCTTCGTCTGTCAGAAATTGCGCTCGATGTGTCAGAAATTGGATTCCATGCGTTAGAAATTGGACTCCATGTCTCAGAATTTGCGATAAATGCCTCAGACTTTGTGCTCTATGTTTCGGATGTTTGGAACAGTGGTTCCCCAAGTCCATAGGCAATCTTCAAAAGCTTGAGACTTTAGACATTGGGATAGATTCTACTATATAAGACTCCCTGATGAGTTCTTGAAGCTCGAAGAGCTCCGCTTCCTTTTTGTGCGACATGAACAACATCTAAGATCACAAGAACCAGCTTTAATACTTCCTAAAGGAATAGGAAGCTTGGCAAAAATGCAGACATTGACATTGAACGTGTGTTGATGTACCTCAATTCATAGGCGCACTTAAAGATCTAATGAGGCTGACTCAACTAAGTGCTGGAATAGTAATAATAATTTGCCCTTGAACATCCAATACAAATTGTGTAATAATATTGTAATGTTAATAAATTTAATTGTTGCACATAATTTGGGTATTATTTATATAATTGTTATATATATCCTTAGAAGTTATTTTGTTAGATCATGCACTGTGATGGTCACTTGCTTGGAGATATGATCTAACTTAGAAATTTCTTAAATTTGTACTTAACCTATAACTAGTAAAGGATAACTTTGTTATAACAGGTTATTATGCATGACACCGATATATAAGATATGGTGGTGGGTCTCAACCATCGGGAATGGAGATTCTCCGGGTGTATGTCATAAGCACGCATTATGATGTGTGTAGCACTAGACCGTATTTGAATTCTCTAGGATGAGTCACCTAAGAGATAGAGAATTCAAATTGTTACATTGTCCCTTTGACTTGATGATATTATCATTTTCGATTTGATAATTTAGTATGCTTTGATGTGATGGTTAAGCTTGTTTAGCAAGCGTTACACAACCTGAAATATTGGGTTGCTAAATTTTATTTAGAAAAATAATGGATGTCTAGATAGGATCAAGTATGCTCATTATGATGAGTTAATTTATTATGCATTCCCATGAAGCTATTAAATTCCTGCCGGCAGGTGGTTTTGAAAATATTTTAAAATTTTACTTTCTTATAAATATAAAATATTTTGATGTTTCAAAATGTTTTTTATTTATGTTCATGGGAATTGCAAATTTAGGCATGAGCAAATAGGTGAGTTGTCCTGCTTAAAAAAGTTGCCTAAAATATATGATACTGGAAGGGAGTGAATGTAAGATATTATTTAATCCCATATTATGGAAAAGCTTTTATGAACAGTTGGTCGGAAAGGGATTTGATTGTTAAATTAAAATTATTAATTTGATTAATAATTGGTTCTCGATATGGGACCCAATTGGTCTCACTAATGTCATTAGAAGAGGTATATATGCAATGTAATTCTATTTCTATCCTTAATTGTTATGGATAAAGTTTTTGAATAAATCTATTTCTATCCTTAATTGTTATGGATAAAGTTTTTGAACAAATCTATTCTATCCTTAATTGTTATGGATAGAGTTCTACATAATTATGAATTGTTTAAAGTTAAAATCTCTAAGACTAGTGTAATCCTATAAATAGGGTTCATATGTAGCCTTATGAGGAGAGATTGAAAATCTTATGAAGATAATATGAAGAAATAGATTTTTGAGAACCTATCTCTCAGTATTGCTCCTCTACGGTGACGGGTGGATTTCAATTGGAGGCTTTTTCTCTTGAGGAAGCTATTTCGGATTGATCTCGGGACAGATTATTGTAGAAATTCGGAAAACGTTTCAGGTATTCTTCTAATATTTAATTAAATTTGATTATTAGTCATGATATATTTTTTTCGCTGCGTTGTATGTCATAATTCCAACACTAAGAAACCTACAATTGCTTAACATTGAAAATGTTAGTCAGGAACTTCTTGAACATTCTCTTAAGGGAATAAGCGGATCCTTTTCTTCTTTAAAACTAGCTTCTGCCAGTCTTACACTTCTCAAGACTTCAAAAATTAAGGTTTTCTGGTTGGCATGAAAAAGTACCAAAATGCCTTTTCTCTCAGCAGAATATTGTCAAGATAACTCTTGAAGATGCTCGCATTTCTGTGTTTGAAGATGATGGTGTAAGGGCTCTTCGTTCTTTACCAAACTTGATCCGTCTTAGGGCATCTCCAACCCAGCTCCATTTTGGTGCAAACAGTGCTTTTTGTTGCACTGTTCCTTCTCCAATCCAGCCCCATTTTCTGCTCCATTTTGGTGCAAATGAACAGTGCTGCACCAAATATGGCGTCGCACTGTTCATCCACCTCATTACTGTTCACTTTTTTTTAAAAAATTTAAATATTTGTTTTTACCTCTCAATTAATATAAAAATAGATAAAAGGGAATAAAGTGAGAATATACTGAGAATATTCTTTTTTGGTGCAAAAAATGGTGCAATGGGTTGGAGATGTATTACTGTTTGATGTGACTTTTGCACCATTTTGATGCAAAATTTGCACCATTTTGATGCAATGGGTTGGAGATGGTCTTAAGCTCCAAGACTGTGCGGTAACTGGAGACATCCAAATTCAAAGCTGGAGGATTTCAGGTTGTCAGTTTCTTGGACATGGTCGTGTCCTCTTCACTGACTTTTGAAGGAGCAGCATTGCCTCGTCTTGAATCGGTTGTGTCCAGAGAGGAGTCTTTCTCTTTCTCTCTTAGGACGTTTCTCAGAGAGTTCGAAAGCAGAAGGTGTGCGAGTGTGGAAATTTCAGGCATTCAGGATCTTGAAAGTCTCAAGAAGATTGAGGTGAAACCTTGTACGTGAATACATATTCATAAGTTGAAAGAGGCAGTAGCCATAAATAAATAAATAAACTCATCATAGTATAACGACAGGCACTTCGATCTGGAAACTTATTTGCAATTAAACTTTGCTCTTTTGTGTGACGAGTGTATGTGAGGATTTTGCTGATCTGATGTAATTTTCTCTTTTTGTGGAAGATTTCCCTTTTAGTTGGATTGTCATATTTGCTGTAATTTTCGCTTTCCTTGTTTGTCTTTGTAACTTTGTTGTTCATATATTTTATGGATCTGTTGTATTATGATTTGAGCATCTTTTTCGTTTTGTATTCTGGGACTATGGAATTCTACCTAAATTTTATATGGTGTGAAGAAAACATTATAGACCTGTAGTCTGATACAAAGTAACAGAAAGAGTGAAACAGGTTAAGCCACTATTGTTTTTTTTTTACTTCTGCTGATATATAATCCTCAACTTGTACCTACATTTTCTCCTTGAGAGACACTATTAAATTTGACTTGGAATTTTCTCTTCTTTTATTTATTTATTTTGAAGAAAAAGGATATATGTGCTTCCCTACTTACAGAAATATTTCGACCGTAAGCAATATTTCGTTATTATATGAGGTGGTAATAAACCCAGTTACTGTCTCATATATCATTTGTAGAATAGAATAGTTTGTGGGTTATTGATGATTTATTGTCAGGAAGTTTAATAAGATCTGTATATTGGGTATTTTTGTTGCTTTTGTTCATGTAAGATGAGAAGTATTTCATCAAATCATGCAAATTTAGAATGCACAGAGTTAGTCACCAACTGATTCCAGAATTGATAATTGTGTTCAGACTGTGAAAAAATATTAACAACAAAAATAAATTACGATTTTAATAACAAAATAACAATAACAATAATAAATTACAATATGATCAAAATGAAATGAACTGCACACCTGCAAGCTTCATATAGTTGATGACATTAGTTAAGTTCAAGAAGACCATCTACTTCACTTTAGAACTGGCACTCTCCGTTTGGTACTACAACGGAACTGCAACCAGGAGTCTTTTGCACCCCGTTGTTCACCATCCTCCTCCTAATCCTCTCAGCCTCCTCCCATCTCTCCGAAGCCGCATAGATATTCGACAACATCACATATTCTCCATCATTCTTCGATGCACCAACTTTATTAATAACTCTCCCTGCCATATCAGTATCAATATGGACTCTACAAGCTCCAAGCATAGCTCCCCACACAGCTTCATTCGCTCTCATCGGCATGTTCATGATCACATCATAAGCTTCAGCCAATCTCCCCGCTCGCCCTAAAAGATCGACCAAACACCCATAGTGCTCAATCCCACGCTCGACTCCATAGCTTTCCATCTTCCTGAATATTTCGAGACCTTGCTCGACTAAACCTCCGTGTGTACAGGCTGAAAGGGCGACAAGAAACGTCACTCCATTAGGGTCTTCCCCCGACACTTCCATACTAGCAAACAGTTGGAGAGCTTCTTCACTCAGGCCATTGCTAGCGAGACCTGAGATCATCGTGTTCCAACACGAGTCATTCCTCCATCTCATGCCCTCAAAGATTCTTTTGGCTGTATCAAGATCCCCACATTTTGCATACATGTCGATTAGCCCGTTTAGTACAAATTGGTTTTTCTGGATTCTTGTTTGGTTTATAAGTTCATGAACCTCCTTGCCGATATCTAGAGCTCCTATCTGTGCACAAGCTGATAACACACTAGCCACTGTGAATTCATCGGGAGCGATGCCAGACTCCTGCATCTTTCTATAAGCTTCCAATGCTTCACTGGAGCGACCGATTTGTGCGTACCCCGCAATCAAAGAATTCCAATTCACTAAGTTTGGTTCGGGAATTTGATCAAACATAGCTCTAGCCTCTTCAGCATTGCCCTTCTTAAAATACCCTGTGATCATTGAGGACAACACAAAGACATTGTGCTCTGGCATGAGATCGAAAATTTCCCTCGCGGCGTCCATATCTCCATTAGTTGTATAACAATTTACCATAATGGTCCATGTCACCACCGTTCTCATCTCCGTCGGAGTGCGTTCAAAAAATTCCCTTGCGCCTATCGTGTCCCCTGTCTTCGCAAACCCCTCGATCATCGTCGCCCAGGTAACCGGGGTCCGTGTAGGAAACCAGTCGAAGAGAGCCATCGCAGAGCTCATGTCAGAATTTGACGCGTACCCACCAATCATGGCATTGTTCGTAACCTCATTTCTCACAGGCATTTCATCGTACAACTTACGGGCATCGATTAATTTGCCGCATTTACAGTACATTGAGATAAACGTAGTTCCCACAATTACATTATGCACAATCCCAGTCTTGATAGATTCTGAATGTAAGGATTTTGCAAGCATAATCAAAGAGGCGGAGGCGCATGCTTTGAGAATAGAAGTACGTATTGGCTGCTGGGTTCTATTGGGCAAGTTTTGGGCGTAGATGTAGAGTGCTTCATTGAGGAGGTTATGACTGAGATACCCTTTTATTAGCTTGCACCACTGTGAAGGATTTTTAGCTCCGGTTGTTAGAGAAATCCCATGGCGCTGCTTAACTCTGAGGGCATTTTCGTAAAGACCCCTCCCTACTGCTCCCATATGAATTTGAGTAGGCCTGGGTTCAGCTGGGTTTATTGGAAATCAATGAGAAAGTTACTGAAATACCCTTCACTTATCTTCCCTCGGTTAGGGACGAAAGTTCCAGTTTCCCGCGGCATTTCAAGTTGCCGCGAGTAAAAAAGCCGCCGCATTTCCCCCTTTCCTTCTCATCGATCTCCTCCTCAAATCTCTTCAAGAATCACAGATGGCCACTCGAGATATCGCCCTTGTCTCAATCTCCGCAGCAGCCCTCGGAGCCCTAGCTTCATTCCTCGCGATCCGTGTCCTCTCCCCAAACCCTAACCCTAAAAAACCGCCAACTAACGAAAAACCTCTCGAGAAGTCTCCAGCTCGGAGCCCATTCGATCCATCCAAGCGAAAAGAGTAAGAATCACCCGCATCCTCTTTCTCTGTCTCTTAGAATGATTCAGTCTCTGCTTGATTTTTAGTGCTCATTCTGCTAAATGAATGGAAAAAAAAAATTTAGGTATCTCTCGTGGGATGATTATTTCATGGCGATCGCGTTCCTCTCGGCCGAGCGGTCCAAGGATCCCAACAGACAGGTTGGAGCTTTTTTGTGTTGCTGAAATTTTTACAGAGAAGCAGAGTAGGTGGTGAAGACCAGGATACTGGATCTTTAGACCAATAAATATTTGGCTTATTTTATTGGCACTTGATGATCCCTGTTACCACCATTTTTAACTTTGATATGTCGAAGGTCTATATTGACAATTTGATATGCGAAATGCCAAAAAGTTGACGTTATTTTGTTCAAGGATATCAACAATGGAAAAGTGAATGTGAATTAACCTTCCTTATCAAATTTCAGTTTTTTGAGTTTGGGGATAGTAAGGAACAAAGTTGGGGCTTCGGGTATCAAATTTTTGCAGAGAAGCAATCAAGGGAATACTGTCAGAACTAGCCTATAACTTTGTTACGTCTAAGTTCTCAATTATTATTCAGAAATCTCATGTCGTTTGGACTAGTCTCATAATGGTTTTCTCTGAAAGATAAGACCTAGTTGTTTACACAGTATCCTTGTGAGCTGTGACAAAGAAAGGACATAATATGTTCTCTTTGGCTTTATCTTCTATCAACTTCATTTATTTTAAAAACTGCATTTTAAGTTTCACGACAATTGTTTATTTGTTGTGGCTATCTCCGAAGTTGATCCTTGTTTACTACCCATGACCGTTTAACTAGTATTTCACACCAGATCATATTTTTCATGGCATTGATATGCTTTTGTTTTATATTCCGTAACTGTTCAAATAATTGTTTGGGATTGATTGTTACTATTTGTCCTCTTAGGCTTCAGAGGCGTTTTTTTGTTTGACACTCTTAGGCCTAACATTATGTTTTGCTTGGATCCCTTATTGCAGGTTGGGGCGTGCCTGGTCAGTGAAAATGGGATTATTCTTGGTGAGGGCAACAATGTAAAGTGTAAAGTGCCTGTTTTCCGCCTTTATCAAGAGTTATCCTTAGGCTTCTTGCGAATTTATGATTTAGGGAAGAAATCAAGATGTTTAAATTTATGGGGAAAAAACTGAGAAACTGGAGAGAATTAATGGATCTAATATCCAGTTGAATTTCATCGGTCACTTTTTAGTTAACATAGCTGATGATGTGATCTCACCTGCTGCCATTTATGCTACTTAGATGAATAGTGTAACTGCCAGACAGTATACCTTTATAGTATATATTATACTTAAGCTCCGTGTCTGAAACTAAAACCTGTACAACAGTTGCTTGGAAAAAAATTATTGTCTATTATATTTTAAATTAATGAGTTCTATTGTGCTGGATCTATCCTTTTTTTTATAGTTGCATTTAATTGCTACTGAAAGAATCATGGCAGAAATTAACTGGTAGAATGTATGCAGGTGGTGCCTAAGACTAGTTTCTTTCTGAAAAATTTATGGTGTATCGCTGCAAGGATTTAGCAATTTAGAAAAGGATCTAGATATGTTCAGCGATCACAGATGAATTCTACTTGATGCCCCTTAGAAATATTCAGTTAAGCTTGTAGTACTAGGATGGATATGGATTAAACTATAAACTCCAATGATTTAAACTAAAAGTTTATCTTGATGGCGAAGAAGCGACTTATGTTATTGTAGTAAAACATGTTCTTGTTGGTGCCGAGGAATTTGAAGATAATGATGACTTTGGAGTGTGTTGATATCTTTGTAGAAGTATCACCAACATGTTAGACACAGTGCTCCTGCATTTATGTAATGTGTTAGACTGTTAGCTGTTAACTAGTAATATAATGCATTTAAATACGGAGCAATTGACACTATTGTTTTTATTTCAATAATGTAACTTCTATGAGGACCATTTACTTTAGAAGATTGTCCATGTATAGTATGCAAGAACATACTCCATTTGTCATGGAAGTCCAGATTTATTTGCGATACCTCACAATTTCAAGGATTCTGCTAAGCAAAGCAAACAAAAGATTAAAGAGATATCCACATTGTTCCGAGTTTAATTTCAATCGAGACTATCATTAGCTTTCTTGCACAATGTATATGCTGATCGCATATAATGAAACATCTTCCCGAGCCAATTGGGGGAGAATTTCTTGGACCTATACTCGTGTTTCAGAAAGGGAAAATCTAGATAAGACCCATTAATGATGACTTTCTATGGTATATAGACTAGCGACATAAGACACAAGACATAAGACACAAGAAACACGGAAATTAGATGACAACTTGAAGCTGTTGGTCAAATGTTTCAGCCACCGAAAGGTGGCAGCTAAAATTGACAAATGAAAAGGGGAAGAGGACTTTCAGCAACCCCACTTTTGACAAATGAAGAAAAGGACAAGGCCATTTGTCAAATGGCAGGAAGAAAAAAGGAGGACAATCAGACTATAAAACCCCCACCCCTCTTCCCTTCATCGATCATCCTTCAGCTGCTAAGATATAATCAAGGCAGTGAGAAAATATAGAGAGGCTAATAGGGTAAGAGAACTCTGTGAGTGAAAAAATCCAAGAGAGAAAATTGAGAGCAATTTTCAGAGTGCTTGTAATATTTTTTCCATTAGTAAAAGATCTGCAGCAGCCCGTGGATGTAGGCAAGTTTATGCCGAACCACGTAAATCTTGCGTGTCTCCTTTTTTGCGCATTTATTTCGCTTTCTCTTAAATCTGACAATAGGGGACCGAGTAGTTTCCCAACAACTGGTATCAGAGCTCTGGTTGTGACGTCTGACAATTTTTTGCGAGATTACTATTCACGCGAATAGTGAATTTTGTGAATAGTGAAATTTTGCCGACGGTACCGACTTGTTGGCAGAGGTGTCTTAATACACCGTGGTTCGCAAAATTATCAGAAACGATCCAGAGGAAGTCAGATTCGAGTGGAAGCGATAGCTGCAGATGAAGGGAAGGTGAAAATTGAGAAGTTCGATGGTGCGGACTTTGGTTTTTGGAAGATGCAGATCGAAGATTATCTGTACCAGAAGAAGCTGTATCAACCTCTCTCAGGAAGTAAGCCAGATGATATGAAGGATGAAGAGTGGGCTCTTCTCGACAGAAAAGCCCTTGGAGTTATCCGATTGACGTTATCCCGCAATGTTGTTTTTAACATAGCAAAGGAAAAGATCACGGCGGGTCTTATGGCGGCTCTCTGCAGCATATATGAGAAGCCATCTGCCTCAAACAAAGTTCACTTGATGAGACGGCTGTTCAATTTACGAATGACGGAAGGCGCATCGACAGCTCAACATCTCAATGAACTCAACATAGTCACAACCCAGTTGAGTTCAGTTGAGATTGAGTTTGATGAGGAAGTTCGAGCGTTGATCCTTTTATCTTTCCTACCAGAAAGCTAGAATGCTACAGTCACGGCTGTGAGTAGCTCATCGGGAAGCAACAAGTTGAAGTTCGATGACGTTCGTGATCTGATTCTTAGTGAAGAAATTCGACGGAGAGAATCAGGTGAAGCTTCAACCTCCTCAGCTTTACACACGGAGTCTAGGGGAAGAACTTCAAAAAGAAGTTCAAATCATGACAGATCAAAATCTAGAAGGAGCAAATCTAGATCAGGAAAGAAAGACTTCAAGTGCTACAATTGTGACAAGAAGGGTCATTTCAAGAGGGATTGTCGTGCACCAAAGAAAAACACCGACACACAAGAGTCTGCCAACGTGACCGAGGAAGGAGGTGATGCTATGATTCTAAGCGTCAACAGTCCGATTGAATCATGGATTCTTAATTCAGAGGCATCCTTCCACTCCACCCCATGCCGAGAAATCATGGAGAACTACGTCAGCGGTGATTTCGGAAAGGTACATCTAGCAGATGATGAAACATTGAAGATTGTTGGCAAGGGAGACATCCGATTAAAATTACCAAATCAGACCACATGGAAGTTGCAAGGAGTGAGACATATTCCTGGTCTTAGAAGAAATTTGATCTTTGTGGGACAGCTTGATGGAGAGGGTTATTGTACAACCTTCTCGGGTCATGAATGGAAGATTACAAAAGGAGCACTCGTCATTGCTCGAGGTAAGAAAAATGGTACTCTATATATAACCTCTAACTTAGAGAATATCATTACAGTAACAGATGCAGATGAAAAATCAAACCTATGGCATCAAAGGCTTGGCCATATGAGCGAGAAAGGGATGAAGACACTTCTATCAAAAGGAAAGCTGCTGGATCTGAAGAATGTAGATGTCAGCTTATGCGAGGATTGCATCTTTGGCAAACAGAAAAAAGTCAGCTTTGTAAAGATTGGCAAGACACCCAAGACAAAAAGGTTAGAATTGATTCATACCGATGTATGGGGACCATCTCCAGTTTCATCTCTTATAGGCTCACTGTACTATGTCACCTTTATTGATGATTCTACAAGGAAGGTGTGAGTTTATTTTCTGAAGAAGAAATCATAAGTCTTTGATACCTTTAGAAAATGGAAGGCCATGGTGGAAAATAAAACTGGTTTGAAGATAAAGAAGTTGAGGTCAGACAATGGAGGAGAGTACAAAGATAATAGATTCAAAGAGTTTTGCGCAAACAACGGGATCAAGATGGAGAAAACAGTTCCCATGACACCACAGCAAAATGACGTAGCGGAGCGCATGAACAGAACTTTGAATGAACGTGCCAGAAGCATGAGGATACATGCCGGACTGCCCAAGTTCCTATGGGCTGAAGCTATCAATACCGCAGCCTACCTAATCAACCGTGGACCCTCAGTTCCCTTGGATGGTGGAATACCGGAGGAAGCTTGGAGCAGAAAAGAGGTAAACCTTTCACATTTAAGAATCTTTGGTTGTATCTCTTATGTACACATAGATTCTGCTGAAAGAAGTAAACTTGATGCCAAATCTAACAAATATGTTTTTGTTGGTTATGGTGGTAATGAGTTTGGTTACCGATTTTGAGACTATAAAAATCGGAAGATCATCAGAAGCAGAGATGTCATATTCAATGAGAATGTGATGTACAAAGACAGATCAACTGCAGAATCAAGTAGCTCTAGTACAAAAGCTGAAACAAAGGAATTTGTTGAATTTGAGGAGATTTCTGAAAAGGATGTTCAGACTAGCCCTGAAGCAGTTCAAGAAGAACCAAGCACGCCAGAAGTGAGACGCTCCTCCAGAATTCCTAAGCCAACCCAGCGCTATTCGCCTTCTTTGCACTACCTGTTGCTGACTGACAGTGGTGAACCGAAGTGTTATGACGAAGCAATGCAGGTGAAGGATTCAGTCAAGTGGGAGTCTGCTATGCAAGATGAGATGGACTCGCTCATGTCAAATCAGACGTGGGACTTAGCTGAATTACCACAAGGTAAGAAAGCTCTTCATAACAAGTGGATTTACAGGATCAAAGAAGATCATGATGGGAACAAGCGCTACAAGGCAAGATTGGTTGTCAAAGGCTTTCAGCAAAAGGAAGGTATTGACTATAATGAAATTTTCTCCCTGGTCGTAAAACTGACTACAATCAGACTGGTGTTGAAAATTATAGTTGCTGAGAACTTACATCTTGAGCAATTAGATGTAAAAACAGCTTTTTTTCATGGTGATTTGGAGGAGGAGATTTATATGAAGCAACCAGAAGGCTTCATAAAGACAGGTAAGGAAAATCTAGTATGCCGTTTGAAGAAGAGCTTGTATGGATTAAAACAAGCTTCCAGGCAGTGGTACAAGAAGTTTGACAGCTTTATGGGCAGCAACGGTTTTACTAGATGCCAAGCAGATCATTGTTGCTATATCAAGAGGTTTGACAATAGCTTCATTATTTTATTGTTATACGTTGATGACATGCTCGTTGCAGGATCAGATCTGCAAGAGATTATAAATTTGAAGCAGAAATTGTCAAAGCAGTTCGTAATGAAAGATCTTGGCGCTGCAAAGCAGATTCTTGGAATGAGGATCAAGAGAGATACGAAGTCTGGGACTTTGATGTTATCACAGGCTGAGTATATCAACAAAGTACTCTCCAGGTTCAATATGCAAGATGCTAAATCAGTGGGTACACCTTTAGGTGTTCATTTCAGACTTTCCAAAGATCTGTAACAGCGACATATTCTACTTCAGTTGTGAAGAGCGTGCACACATAGCGAAGGTCTCGTACGCCTCAACTATTGAAAGTCTGATGTATGCCATGGTTTGTACAAGATCAGATATTGCTCAAGCAGTGGGAGCTGTTAGCAGGTACATGAATGATCCGGGCAAGGTACATTGAGAAGCAGTCAAATGGATCCTCAGATATCTACGGGGTACCACAGGTAAAGCACTTTGTTTCAAAGGTGGAGATACAATACTAACAGGTTATGTGGATGCTGATTTAGCATGAAATGTTAACCACAGAAAGAGCACTACAGGGTATGTCTATACTCTAGGAGGTACTGCAGTGAGCTGGGTTTCACAACTGCAGAAGATAGTTGTTCTCTCCACAACTGAAGCAGAATTGTCGCTATTACAGAAGCCATCAAGAAAATGGTTTGGCTTCAAAGTTTTTTGGATGAATTAGGCAAGAAACAAGAAGACAATGTCTTATATTGCGACAGTCAAAGTGCTATTCATCTAGCGAAGAATCCGTCTTTTCATTCCAGAACGAAACACATACAGATGCGGTATCATTTTATCCGGTCACTTCTGGAAGATGAAATTTTGAAGCTTGAAAAGATTAGTTGAGCTCAAAATCCTGCAGACATGCTAACAAAGACGGTGACTACTGACAAACTGAAGCTGTGTTCAGTTTCAGTTGGCCTGCAATAATAACAAAACCGGGAAAGCGCTGCTGCATAGATCGAGGTGTGAAGACAAATTGAAATCAGTGTTCAAGTGGGATTGTTGGTCAAATGTTTCAGCCACCGAAAGGTGGCAGCTAAAATTGACAAATGAAAAGGGGAAGAGGACTTCCAGCAACCCCACTTTTGACAAATGAAGAAAAGGACAAGGCCATTTGTCAAATGGCAGGAAGAAAAAAGGAGGGCAATCAGGCTATAAAACCCCCACCCCTCTTCCCTTCATCGATCATCCTTCAGCTGCTAAGATACAATCAAGGCAGTGAGAAAATATAGAGAGGCTAATAGGGTGAGAGAACTCTGTGAGTGAAAAAATCTAAGAGAGAAAATTGAGAGCAATTTTCAGAGTGCTTGTAATATTTCTTCCATTAGTAAAAGATCTGCAGCAGCCCGTGGACGTAAGCAAGTTTGTGCCGAACCACGTAAATCTTGCGTGTCCCCTTTTTTGCGCATTTATTTCGCTTTCTCTTAAATCTGGCAATAGGGGAATCCGAGTATTTTCCCAACAGAAGCTTCAAAATCAAAATTAGTCTCTCAAAGCTGACTTAGTCTTAAAAAAGTTGGACTTGCATCTGGACCATTTCTCCAACATCTTTGGACACAAATAAAGAGTCAAAGTAGACTTCTTCCGTGATGGAATCTAGACCAACTTCTATCCAAATGGGTTGTACTTATTCTCTCCTGGATTTCTTAGTTCAGTAGTTCTTTGTTAAACATTCTTATCTCAATAATCATTTGGTACAAGTAATGACTGCTCTCATATTTTCATAGTTTACCTAAGAAACTGTCTAGAAAGAAATATATAGCACATATCCATCTTGTAATGATGAAATCAACTGCAATTTGTCTGAATTGCGAATCTGAAGTCTGGTGTTACCTTCTCAGGAATTGGCTACAATGGATTTCCAAGGGGTTGTTCTGATGACAAGCTTCCCTGGGCGAAGGTTGTTTCAACAGATTATCATACAGATTTTTCTTTTGTCTAAAGTTTGACCTTTTGAACTTAAGTAATGCATTTCCTCCCTTTTCCTCATATTGCAGGATTCTGTCATTGGAGATCCACTAGAAACAAAATATCCGTAAGTTCTTTTGAATTCACTGTATCTTTATATTTTACCCTTGGAATTTCATTTTAGTCAATTGCTAATGCTTCATCGTGATTGTTTTCTTGGTATTTCATTCTTTTGTTGTTGCAAATGGTTGATTCACATCTAAGCAATCTGGAGAAAAGTTGGTAGAATTTGGGTTAGTCCCAAGTGAGATCGGTAGTTCCTTAGCTTAGTTTCGTCTTTATGTATTCATTAGGTCATATTCAAAGGCTCTAGGTACTGGAGTCATCCCAAATGTTGTATGTGTGCAAGTATGCAGACAAAGTTTGGAAAAGGGACATTGGAGTCAGTCATAAGATTCTAGTATCATGCTTGAGGTGTTTTGATGGATATCACCAACATCATAGAAAGAAGAGGAAATCAACATTTAATCGTTTTGGTGCAGGCTATACCGCTATGGAATTGTAACTTTATATATGATGTTAGGGCTTTTAATTTTAATGTAAAAGGCCCATGAGGTAGCAGAATGTGTCCATGAATTCTTTTGGGGGAATCTAAATGAAGCTTTGGAGTTGAAGGATTGTAGATCTGATAGGTGTCTTAATAGAAATATATCTGAAACTAGTTTGATTGGACAATAAAATGCTGCCATTTTCTCCATTTGTTGATGTTCCAGACTACCAGTACTTAAGAGCTATATCTTATTTATTTCTGTTTTATTTATTTATTTATAGATAGCTCATTAGGTAATTTTTCAGAGTTCTCAAAGAGATTGTCTAGACATTTTAATTGTCAGTTTTAGTTTCCAATGCTTGGCCTAGACGTAAAATAAGAATACTGCCATGTGTTTGCTATAACTTCATCTCTATAAGTCTAACTAAATTTCTGTATATATGTTTTGCATCTAATTTCTTGTGCTATGCTTTCCAAAATATTTCAGAACTGTCTCTGTTACTCTATACTAGTAGAAGCTGCTGATTTTTTTATTTAACTTCTGTAGTTATGTCGTTCATGCTGAAGTGAATGCTATCCTGAACACAAACCATGCTTCTGCAGCTGGGCAGGTATTTCTGTCCCTGGGTTTTGAATTGGATATATTTGTTTAGATAAATGACTTTATTATAACTTCTTGTATGAAATGCCATTTACAGTCCATGTTACTGTTATTGTGTCCGTAATTGTGTTTTTAGCACATGGCTCCACTTGGGTTTGCAAATAGGTCATATTGGGGAAGATCAAGCTCTAACATACATTAACATGGTTCAGAAAGCTATTATCAGGTCTGAATGGTGCTTAATCCTGTCTGAAGACTTCTGATGCAGAACGAGGATCGATAGTGTAGAAAGACATAGTTGAGATAGCAAAACCCTAAATTAATTTATTCAGATACTAGAGAGATATATATATAGTCATACAAATAGGGGTATGATTAACGGGTCACAGCGCATTAACCCAACACCCAATAGGCTTAATCTAACACTCCCCCTCAACCTGGAGCATAAATATCCACCATGCCTAGCTTGTCACATATAATAGAAAACACCTTTGAAGAAGTGGCCTTGGTAAGAATATCAGCAAGTTGTTGTGAGGATGGAGTGAATATGAGACACACTATCTTCTTCTCCCAAGCATCTCTGACAAAATTACAGTCAACTTCAATATGTTTTGTCCTCTCATGAAATACAGGATTCTGTACAATGTAAATGGCAGATTGGTTGTCACAATGCATAGGTATGAGTTCAGGTTGAACAAAACCAAGTTCTCTCATAAACTTTCGTAGCCACACCATCTCACAAGCAGTGTGAGCCATTGCTCTATATTCGGCCTCTGCACTAGACCGTGATACTACATATTGTTTCTTATTTCTCCAAGTCACAAGATTACCTCCAATAAAAGTACAAAATCCTGAGGTTGACTTTCGGTCTCCCATATCTCTTGCATAGCCAGCATCAAAGAAAGTAGAAACATGGGTATGCTCATGCTTCTTATATAGCAATCCCTTACCAGGGCAACTCTTGATATATGCCAAAATCTTCAGAGCAGCTATCCAATGAACTTCTCTAGGTTTGTGCATAAACCTACTCAGTACACCCACTGCAAAGGTAATATCAGGTCTGATAACTATCAAATAGATTAGTTTACCAATCAGTCTCCTGTATCGTCCAACATCATCTAGTAGAGAGGTATCATCACGCCACAAATCAATATTTACCTCCATTGGAGTGTTTGAAGGTTTGCATCCCAAGAGATCTGCTTCTTCTAGTAAATCTAGCACATACTTCCTTTGTGACAACAACAGGTCATGCCTTTGATATGCAACTTCAATCCTAAGAAAATATTTTGGCTTTCCCATGTCCTTAGTGATAAAATAACGGTTTAGATACTTCTTAGTCTCTACTAAGGCAACAGAGTCACTCCCAGTGAGCAGAATATCATGAACATAAACGGCTAAAATAACCAAACCAGTTGTTGTGCGTCGAAGAAAGACAGAGTGATCAGAATGGCAGCGTTGGAAACCAACACTAGAAATAACCTTGCTGAATTTGACAGAGTGATCAGAATGGCAGCGTTGGAAACCAACACTAGAAATAACCTTGCTGAATTTATCAAACCAAGCTCGAGGACTCTGTTTTAACCGTTGGAAACCAACACTAGAAATAACCTTGCTGAATTTATCAAACCAAGCTCGAGGACTCTGTTTTAACCTATAGATGGTCTTTCTCAGTTTGCAGATAATATTCTCTCCCTGAGCAACACACCCAGGAGGTTGCTCCATATAAACCTCCTCGTCCAAATCACCATAAAGAAAAGCATTCTTCACATCTAGTTGATGCATCTTCCAATTCAGATTAACAGCCAGAGAGAAGAGAATTCGAATGAAGTTGAGACGAGCAACAGGAGAAAAAGTCTCAAAATAGTTAATACCATATGTCTGGGTATATCCTCTAGCAACCAAGCGAGCTTTATATCTATCAACAGACCCATCAGGGCGATATTTTAAGGTATACACCCATCTACAACCAACCACAATCGCTCCAGTAGGTAGAGAGACCAAATCCCAAGTCTCTCTAGAAAGCAGTGCATTTATCTCTTCATCCATAGCCTGTTTCAGGCGGGTACTAACAAAGCTTTCTCATGTGACCTAGGTAAAGATATAGTGGACAAGGACAAAGCAAACTAACGAAAGGATGGGATGAGACGGTCATAAGAGACAAAAAGAGAAATAGGATATTTTGGACAAGATCGTTTACCTTTACGAAGAGCAATAGGAACATCTAAGTCAGAAGAGATATGAGGCTCGACATGAGATGGACCTGTAGCTGGAGAAGAAGAGTCAGCAAGAGCAGAGACATGTGTATGTACTTTAGGACGATGAGAGTATGTCAGTAGAGGCTTTGGTGCAGTAGCCACAGGAGCAGATACCGAAATAGTAGTGGGAGCCGTAGAAGGTAGTAGTACCTGTGGACTGACAGAGGTAGTGGAACCAGAGGAAAAATATGGGACAGACTCAAAAAAGATAATATCAGCAGAAACAAAATATCTCCTGGTGGTCGGATGATAGCACCTATACCCTTTTTTAGTACGTAAGTATCCAACAAACACACACTTAATGGACCTAGGAGATAATTTATCCAAACCAGCAGTCAAATCCTGAACAAAACACGTACAACCAAAAACTCGAGGAATCACAGAAAAATATTTTTTTAGCAGGATAAAGACAGTGAAATGGTATCAAACCATCAAGAACAGAGGAAGGCATTCGATTAATCAAATAATAGGCAGTGAGGACAGCATCAGACCATAAGTATTTTGGAATATTTATATGTATCATCAGTGTTCTAGCAACATCGAGAATATGTCTATGCTTCCTCTCAGCAACTCCATTTTGTTGTGAAGTGTGAGAGCATGAAGTTTGATGAATAATACCATTAAGAGCATAAAATTTTGAAACGTCATTTTTCATATATTCCAAAACATTATCAGTACGAAGAATATGAACAGAAGTAGAGAACTGGGTTTTTATTTCATTATAAAAAGTTCAATAACATGCGAGACTTCAGACCTCTCTTTCAACAAATATAGTCAAGTCATGCGAGAGAAATCATCAACAAAAATAATAAAATATCAAAAACCCTTCACAGAGGAAACACGACAAGGACCTCAGACATTAGAATAAACTAACCCAAACGCAAAACTACTGCGTTTATCGACACGACTCTGAAAAGAAGCACGATGGTGCTTACCCAGTTCACATGACTCACAACCTAAAGAAGAAAGAGAAAACTGAACAGTAACTACCGATCTAAGTTTCTATAGTGAAGGATGATCCAGACGTCAGTGTCACAGTAACGTAGAATCAAGCTGTGCTGCAACAAGACCAGCACCCGGCACACTGTCGTCCAAATAGTACATACCTCCTCTCTCATATCCCGAACCAATCGTCATCCCAGTTGCTAGGTCCTGAAAAACACAATAAGAATTAAGAAGGAAAGAAGGTGACTTTATAGTTACAGTGCTTTGTAAACTTGCTAATGGATAATAAGCTAACAGGGAATTTAGGAGCATATAACACATCAGTGAGTTTCAAAGAGGAAGTAGCATGAACTACTCTAGCACCAAGAACTGGAGAAAGTGTACCATCAGCGATGCGAATAGAGCAAAACTTATCAGAAAGATGTAAAGAGATAACGATTCTTTATACCTGTCATATGGGATGAGGCTACAGAATCTAGTACCCATGGTTCATGAGGAGAAGTTATGTAAGCATTCATACCTGAAGAGGATGCATGAGTAGCCAAATGACTGTTCTGAGAGAACTCTAGCTGGCGTAACCTCTCATAATCTGTTTGAGAGATTTGAACAGTAGGAACAGTAGCAGCTGGATTACTAGAAGTAGTAGTAGAAATAGGTGAGCGAGTCGACTCGACATCGACTACTTAGGCCCATTGAGGACGACCAAACTTCTCCCAGTATTTCTCAGAAATTTGATTGGTCCTCCCACAGTGACCATACTGACGTGAACCCCTATCAGAATCACCCTGTCTCCTACTAAAAGAGTCACGTCCTCCCATAGAATCACGACTACGACCATGACCGCGACCTCTGCCTCTACTAGAGAACATGGCAGACCGATCCATTGAAGGTGGAGACGGTGCATAAGTATCAGAAAAAACACTAGTAGAGACCCGCATGACTCTGGAGAATGTAGCAGTCAGTGAGGGGATGGTATCTTCACCTAATATTTGTTCTCTCACCTGGGACTGTAAGGTAGGGTGCAATCCAAAAAGAAACTTGGACACTGTCAAGTTACGACGATATCCCAACAGCGTCATCGTATCAGCTACTGCAGGCTGATGCATCTCCAGTCCGTCTATCAGTCCCTTTAACTCACTAAAGAACTCCGGAACTGACCTATCTCTCTGTTTGAGCGTAAACAGTCGCTCATAAATCTCAAATACACGGGAAGCATTCTTCTCATTCCCATACATAATCTTCATGTTGTCCCACATCTCCTTCACAGTGGTTAAGAACATAACACTGCTACTAATCTGTGGTTCCGTGCTGTTGAGGAGCCACGTCATAACACAATAATCAGACGAGAGCCAGAAACTATAGGTGGGATCTGTGGTGGGTGGAGGAGAGGCCAGAAGATGCAGAAGTTTGCTCTGAGCCCCAATGAAGATACGAAAAGCCTGAGCTCGGAACAGATAGTTTTTACCATTCAATTTTATTGTAGTCCCCAAGACTACCTTGGACGCAGAAGTTTGACCAGCAGCAACAGAGGGAGATGTAGAAGAGGAGGAGAGATCTGCTTTCGACATTGTTACACAATAGTGATAGGCAGGTAGTAGTCAAATAGTCAGGGCAGTAGTAGAGATCTGTTCTTTAAACATAGACTAAGAGCAGATCAAAAAATAAACAGTAGTAGATGACCGGATCGGGTTATATGTGGCCTCGAATCACCTATTCAAGACCATGGATAAAAAAGGACAAAACAAAGCGGCGGCGGCACTGTAGCGACGGCGGCGGTGGCGAAGAGGCGGCGACGGCTAGGGTTTTTGAA